GTGTGGCTTCACACCATTTTTTCTCTTATGTGAAACTGAAAAATAACTCCATTTCTCAGTATATCTGTCATCTGCTTTGTGGTATTTTCCACTATATTGCACAGAATGATATATTTGTTCATGATAAAAGCATGACCTAAATATGTACTAAGGAAAATCCAGTGTTTAGAAAGGTGGATGTCCTGCAGAGCCTGTAAAATGTGGGACATTGGTTCAAGATGTGGGAGAGGGGGAAAGCATAAAAATGCTGTGCAGTCCCCCTTAAAGAGGGACATCTGATCCCCCTCCCTGCACAACATGAAGTATGAAGTAACACCAGTAACACCTTAAGGACGTAAACCAATGTGTAGACAGTGATGTGCAAAGCTTTTCTTAACCCTCCTATCTATGAAAGTGACCAAGGTACACAAAGTTAAAGCCGCTGGGATGCCTGTCACTTTAACAAAGTTCATAGTTCAAGCTGCACGTGCTTGAATCAACATGGCGTCGCCTGCTCAATAGAAGTGGAGCAGAAAGTAAATACAGAGGTACGGGAAGGTAAGGAGCTCTCGTGGAATGTTACCGCTAGTCAAAAACAGCGCACTACACAAAGTGTTCCGTTAAAATACCGACGTCGTTCCTCTGAAACTGCAAAGAATGTAACTTCCTGCTCGAGCTAACATCAAGTCGTTCAGTTTGCCATATAACCAAAACATAATTACTGAAAAGCAGTAAGTGCATGTACTGTTATGTAGAGTAACAGCATTGTTTTACATAGTCACGGTGACACATTAATTGTAGCAGTTATTTGAAAGTTGCACAATACCCTAAACCAGGCTTGAGAGTAGAGTATGAGACTTTTTTCACGTTTTAACTCCGTGAATGCGAGCTCCTGATAGGCCTACTTATTGTTTGGTGCTTTAGGAATCAGCACAGTGATGGCAGATATCAGCAGCAGCCCAGCGGCCATCACTCCAGCCTCGCTCTCCCTGGAGGAGAAGCCTGATGACCTCTCCAAAAATGATGTTGCCAAGCCTGTTGTTCAGGCTGAAGGAGAAAGCCAGGGGGCTCCTGACCCCGGCATGTACCGCTACATCAAAGAGGACCTGTTCACGTCGGAGATCTACAAAGTGGAGATCAGGAATCTGCCCAGGTTCATAGGCTTCAATGACCTGAAGAAGTTCTTGGCCAAGCATGGCCTCAACCCGCACAAAATCAAGCTGTTTGGCAGGCAGACGTTTGCTTTCGTCACCTTCAAGAACGAGGAGGAGCGCGACAAGGCCATGAAGATGGTGCATGGCATGCAGTGGAAGGGCCAAGTGCTTAGTGTCAAGCTGGCCAAACCCAAGGCAGACCCCATCTTGAGAAAGAGGAAGGAGAATGAGGGGGAGAGCGCGCCCCCATGCAAACGAACAGATGATGGGGACGAGGATGAGGAGCCGCTCAGTGTCCAGATCGCCAACGTCGTGACACCTCTGTGGAACATCTCTTATGAAGAGCAGCTGAAGAGGAAGGAACAGGAGGTGGTGGTGGTTCTGCAGAAGCTGGCCAAGTAAGTGTAATATAATACAGATTTGGTGTTATTTATAGGTCATGTTGTACTTTTTATGGGACTTGCTGACATGTCCGTACAAGTTAAACCGTTGTTTTCTTTCAGAGAGATCGGCAGCACCAACAAAGCCATGGTGCCGTGGCTGTTTGCACAGAAAGGGAAATACAACAACATGTGTTGTCCTCTGGAAGCCCTCCGACCGTCTCCTACACAGGTATACTTTGAATAGTTGCTTTTATTTGTCCATAAAAGGCAGGTGGTTATGCAACAGTTAAAAAAAAAAAAAAAAAAAAGGATGAAAAAAAGGCAAAGCACAAAATAAAAAGTAACTAATTAGAGATGGAAAATGACGTACATCAGTTTATTCTGTTTCACGATCTCTCAGCTGTTTTCATGTCTCTAAATATTGTATATAATTTAATATTCATCCTTCTGACCCGGTTTCCGATCGTGACAGACAGAGTACAGAAACAAGTGCGAGTTCCTCATATCGGTGGGTGCAGATGGCGAGGATAAAACTATTGGTTTCCGCCTGGGGAAATACAAGGGAGGGTCCTGTGCTGTGGTGGGGCCGGCTGACACGTGCCACGTGCCGCCAGAGGCCAAGAAGATGGTCAGCGAGTTTCAAAAGTTCATCAGGTATTATTATGTGTGCTCGTGAGGATCTAGGAACAGTTTAGTTTGGGGAACTAAAGCTGCTTGGAAAAAGTAGTTGAACCTAAATAAAAAAAGATCAAATTCATAATGTACATGTCATGTTATTTGAGAAATATGATACAAATAAGTGGAAAAAAACAAAGCAAGTTGTCTAAAAGTTACTAATCGCTCAGTCTGGCTGTGATTTTTGCAAACAGAACAACTCCATACTCCGTGTACAGCCCAGAGACATATGAAGGACACTGGAAGCAGCTGACTGTACGTACTACGAGGACCAAACATGCCATGGCCATGGTGTTCTTCAACCCACAGGTGATGAAATGTTGAAACTGAACTAGCGCCCCATGCTGTTAAAGGTCTCCCTTTTGATTCGCTTCATTTGTTTAATGACTCTTAGAAACTTGAAGAAGAGGAACTTGGTGCTTTAAAGAACTCCATGAAGGAGTACTTCACAGAAGGAGAGGGGAAAGACAGCGGCGTGACCTCTCTGTACTTTGTTAGAGAGGGCCAAAGGTAAAACTAAACTACATGCTCAGTAAGTCATAATCTGTATGAATTTAATGACTGAATGTCATCTTAATAATACTCTGACTATTTATGTAACTTCTTGTATTTTATTTTTTTTGCCTGTTAAGGAAATCTCCAAACCCAGAGGATCTCCCCTGTGAGCTGGTGGTTGGAGAGACCTGCATTCAAGAAGAAATGCTTGGTTTGAAATTCAGGATTTCTCCGCATTCATTCTTCCAGGTGAGGAAGAGCAGAAGCTGCATGTTGTGGAAGTTATAAGGTCTGGTTTGCAACTAGAATATTTCAGGATTTCTTTCTGTGAGGATGAGTGAACACATGTTATCGCAGGCATGGTAATCCTTTTCTGAAGTTCTGATCTCACCATGTTATCCTTCTGCAGATGGGGTGAAATGGTGGTACTCTGTGCTGTGAACAAGCAGCTAGGCCAGGGGTGGACAACTCTTGGCCTCGAGGGCCGGTGTCCTGCAGGTTTTAGATGTGTCCTTGATCCAACACAGCTGATTCAAGTGGCTAAATGACCTCCACAACATGTCTTGTAGTTCTCCAGAGGCCTTGTAATGAACTAATCATTTGATTCAGGTGTGTTGACCCAGGGTGAGATCTAAAACCTGCAGGAGACAGGCCCTCGTGGCCTGGAGTTCCCCACCCCCTAGCTAGGCTCTTCTAAGGCTCATCACAGAGCCTAACAAACAGAAGTAGATCACTGTACTTCACCATGCTTTACCTTTTTTTTGCAGGCATTCCTAAAATGTGGAAACCTCTCCAAATACAGGGCTTAACTCAAAAATATCCCACAAGGCTGGAGTGACTGTGAATTTAATACATTCATCTTATGTTTGTTTGTTTTGTTATTAATCTGTGGCTAGGACACTCGGGTATGGTAGACGATGGTCCCAGTTGTGTTTGCCAGCTTTAACATCAGGTGCTCAGCCTCCATTAACAATCTGTTTCTGTGTGCTAGGTGAATACAGGAGCTGCAGAGGTGCTGTACTCTGCTGTGGGGGAATTGGCCCAGCTGGATCAGGACAGCATAGTACTGGATGTGTGCTGCGGGACAGGAACCATTGGCATCTCTTTGGCTAAGGTAATGTTGTTGTTTTTTTTTGTCAATGTATATAGGTGTTGTGTGCATTTTCTCATTAGTCATGAAGCAGGACAAATGCACACTGACTCGGTTTCATGTTGCCTTTTTTTGCCACCCACTTTTATATCTAGAGGGTGAAAAAGGTGATAGGGATTGAGATGTGCCAGGAAGCAGTGGAGGACGCCAAAGTTAATGCAAAGCTGAATGGTAGGCACCACGAACATCATCACTTTTATCTTTTTGTAGCATTTAGTTTGGGTAAAGCGCATAAGTTGTGGTATTGATGTGATTAACTTTAGTAATTGTATGCATGCTGCATCCCTCTCTTATTTTTGTGTTTTTAAGGTCTCAGTAATGTTGAGTTTCACTGTGGAAAAGCTGAGGATGTGTTCCCCAACATCCTCAATGCTGTCGTTTCATCCAGTGCGACTGCTATCGTAGATCCACCACGAGCAGGCCTACGTGAGTGCACGTTATGATCAAAAGATCTACTCAGGTTAAGATGGTTGTAGTAAGAGATGATTATTTTTTCTTTGTTTCCTTAGACTCAAAGGTGATACTCGCAATCAGGAGAGCAGAGCATTTAAAGAGGCTGGTTTATGTATCATGTAATGCCAAGGCAGCAATGACCAACTTCATTGAGTAAGTGAATTTTGTAGTAGAAAATAAGCCAAAATAAAAACTTTTTAAATGTGACTCCAACTGGAATTGTTTTTTCCTTCAGTCTGTGCAGAGCTCCATCAAACAGAGTTCATGGAGCCCCATTCCGTCCAGTGCGATCCATAGCTGTGGATCTGTTCCCTCAAACCATGCATGTTGAGATGATTCTGCTGCTGGAGAGAGTGGACTACAGCGAAGACTCGGTTTTATAGCTGGAGAAATGAGTCTCTGTGCAGTTTGATTGGCAAATTGGGCTTCCTCCTCTATAAATGTATCCACACAGTACTCTGAAGAATTAACATTGTCATTTACATATTTGTAAAGTCAAAAAGTAACACAAGTTAAATCCCAGTTTTCACAGTGAGCGATAACTGTAGTGTCTTTTTGCTTTGACCTAAAGTTTAATTTTCAAACTAATACTGTGTTTTCTGTTATTCCAAACAGTATTGCTAAAAGCTTAACCAATAAATTACCACCTCAGCTCACTTCCCCCTTTTTAGTTTTGATCCTTCAATCACTGAATAAACAAAAGCTCTTGTAGCTATTAGTCAAGACATTTTTATTTTGCATAACAAATATCACCAAAGTCATGGAGCTCAGGTTGCAATACATACTTCATAATCTAGGCAGCAACACTTCAAACAAGTCATTGGTACAACTTAACAGCAACGCATGGAAGCAGTATCCCCCCCTCCCCCGACACTTATGGGCTTTGCATGAAAACACATACACAAAGGGAAAGCACATTCGTAAAGTGATCTGTACTATCACAGGAGCCTTGGGTAAACAGATGTTTCCTCTTGTAGAAAAACCGCGGGGCAAATACTTGAGTGCACAGCAGTTTCCATTTTGTTCCAGCAAGTGACGGGTCTATGCATTTTCCTGTTAGTCCATATTCTCTTCAGTTCACAGCAACATTGAGTTTTCTATAAAATGCATAAGACTATAAGCTTTGGTATACACAGTTTCATCAGCTTGTTGGACTGAATGACTTTATCGCTGTTGTTTACATCAGTGCCAACTAAATTTTACAAGTTTGCCTTGAAAGAAAAAAAAACCTATTTGTGGCAAACGTACACAAAATAGTCCATTCAGGTGAATCCTACAAATCTGGATGAGTTGTAGGCATATTTTCTTGAGACGTTTCTTGGCCATTTTTAACTGAAAACACTATCTTAAATTCTTTATCAAGTAAATAGAGATTGGTCTTTCCACTTCCTGCTGAAGGGTGTTTTAGGTCCAATGTACAATATATACTCTTGAGCCCTTCATGAAATGGATTAACTAAGGCAACATGTAACCAACATGATTTTTTTAAAATAAGAATAAAAATGAAAAGCAACTGAAATGCGCTTTGTGGTTAGCAACTGTGCATGGCATTAGCATATGAATAAAAATCCAAGTACGAACTAAGCGCATAAGTGAAATGATCCCCAACATGTTACAGTACTGTGTCCCTGTGCTTGGGGTATACTGCAGTGTCACCATGTAGCAGGAAGCTCTTGTAGAACCTGACCTTCACCCGCTTAGGCCTAATGTCAGATATTTGTATGGGCACATGTGCGTGCCCTTTTATACTAAAGATAATTTAGAAGTAATAGCTTGGTATCATTCAGAGATGGTGTCACAGTTTTTTTCCAAACAGTACCTCCAGCTTCACAGCTGGGTTAGTAGTCGGTGAAATTCATTACTTATAATTAAATGAAGGAGTCCCTTTTTAATACAGTCGTATTTAACAAACATGCATTTTTGTTAAGAATATCGACTGACATCACTGAAGTTTCGTATTCCATAAAACAATCTGTACTAGTATCAGCGATGAAGACATCAGGTGGGCTCTAGCTTATGTCTTTTACTGAAACAAATGAAAAAGGCAAGACCCTCAAGAAAAAGTCAGCCCAAATATTCCACTAGGAATTATTCCAGGAATAAAAGCAACAGGCAACAAAAACATCTGACAGGACACGAGTGTGTAACAACAGTGAGCACTTCACACCGCATGTTGCCAACGTGCAAACCAGAGACAGCATCTGTCAATTCTGGGGACAAACAAGACCGCACACAGCTGTAATCATCACTCACCACATCCATAACACCTACCATTAAAATAACAAATAAAATAGGAACTTTGCTTCCAATTAAATGAACGGTATAAATACAAGTATTAGTAGTCCCTTTCAAATACTTTTAGCACAGAGAAAACTATCAGCTGCTGGTACTATGCGCTCATGACTGGTGAAAACAAGCCTTCAAAAATAAAACCAGTGTGTGCAGTGGCTTTCTCCACTTTAAGAGGCATGCAAATCTATTTTGATGTGGTTCATCTTATCAAGTAATGATCACTTCTCTGGACACTGGGGGGGAGGGGGGTTCTCCTACTGCTGTAATTAGGATGCATCTAGAGAGGTAGACGATATTCGCTCTACAGTCTGTTCAGTCCAACACTTCTACCAGCTTAACCAATTAAAACAAGTGAAGGAAGTAAGCAGTAATATCAGCCTGGTCAACCCTTTACTATATTGCCATTTAGATCTCAGTGATGCATAATTAAGTGGTGGATGGTGGGGTGTGCATGTGTGTGATGTCTGACAGTGACTGGTTTTCAGTGCTGTGGTTCATCAGTGATTTGAGATTTAAACGTCGACAGTGCAGAGGGGTTCACTCCCCGGCTGGGCAGATTCCATTATGGTCATCTTGGGTTTCTTCCTCGTTTCCTCCTGGTAGAGAAAATAATTAAAGTACAACAAGCAAGATAACAAAAACAATTATTCTCAAGTACAAGATTTTGGGTAGTGTACATGCAGTCTGGCCAACCAAAGACTGGAAGTTACACTCCTTTGTTTTGTCTTTTTTATTTACAAAAAAATAAAGCTAAACATTACCCCCCCTTTCTTTTTTTTTTAGAACTAAAATCCCAGTAAGAACCATTCCTACCCTCTGTGCAGCCAGTTTAATCATCTCTTCTTGCAGTTTGTTCAAGATATGAAGGTTTGGCTTGTTCTTTTTGGCATACTGCTGGAGCTCGATCACGCTCTTGTCGGAGCTCTCCTGAGAAGTAAGATCATTTTATAACGACATAGCACATGACACTTCATGATAACACGCTATTCAGCTCATCAACACATGGCAGTACCATTTCAATATGTGCAGAAAATTGGTTCAATTCTACATCCCAGTCATTGGTTTAAAACCCAAAATCAATGACGTAGCAGCCCATCCGCTGTTGACCAACACTCTAGGAGCAGAGCTTTGTCATCACATAAGCTCATTTATTTTATTATGCATAGTAGTGACTTTGGGCTTACGACTGTAATTAACAAAGGATCCAGCTTTATTTAGCTGGACACTTCAAATGTTCCAGCACTGACCCACTCACATCTTTTTTCCTGTCATAGACACCCAGTTCCCAAATAAATTAATTAATAGAAAGCAGCATCTTAAAACGGCATCTTCTTGCTCTTCATCCTGTTTTCAGACCCAAAATGAACTGTGGTTTGAAGATTGACTGCCACTTGCTCCAATTCAGTAGAGCATCCACTGTTTATCAGTGTACTTGAACAGGCGCCCTCTGTATCGGTCACAAAAACTATGATGCACAATGCTGAGTTAAAGCTGGAGATTGCGACTCTGTGGAAAACGGTATCTTCTTATCTAAAGACACTTAAAACCCACAGGAACTATATTAGAGACCAAAACAATTTTCTTCATCTTCAATGCTTTCTCTTAAGACTTTACAGCAGCTGTCAGTCCTTACCTTCTTGACCATCTTATTGCTCTCTCTGCCGTACATGCGCAGCAGTGAGCCCCAGTTCTTGACGTGAGGATGTAGCATCTGCAAGATCTTCTGAGATGCTAGCTGTTTGCCAACCCTCTTGTTCTTGCCTAGTTACAAAGATGACAAATACAAATAACCTGTCACTGAAACTCACATGTTAGTGTCACACAGTGAAAATTTGTATTTATCACTTATATTGGTTTTATTCTGATTTTTAGTGTTTTTATTTGCATGATTTTATTCTGTTTGTATTGCATGTTTTTAGTGTTATTTGACATTGTTTTAATCCACTGTGGAATGGCTGAAAATGGGATAAATTAGTTGATAGGGATCACCCACTGAGGTATGGGTGTCTCCAGAGGTGCTGTGTAAAGACCTTTTAAATGCAGGCTAGCTGAGCCCTGGGAGGACAGAGGCCCCAGATATGAGCAGGCCAGGTGAAAAGAGGGACCCGCTGCCTGATCGTGGGGTGCAACACCTAATCAGGAGACGTGGCGGCGCAGTCCTGACAGCAAGGAACGGTGAGAGTGGGAGACAACGCGTGTGAATAGCAGCAGGGCAGAGGTATACCTCCTGCATTTGTGAGTAGTGTCTCCACTTGTTCGCCAGATGCAGCCGGGTTGGGAGAGGGTCGCCATGGATATAAGCCAGGGACGCTTCTGGGACCATTGTTCTGGCCCCTATTTGTTATTTTACAGGGCGCTGATGCGAGGGGAGCCGTGGTGGCATTGCATGATGGACTCCGGTGCAGAACGCAAGCTGGGCTGGGATGTGATGGGCCTAGTGAAGGGATAGGAGGAGGATAGGAGGCTCCTCCTTGTCTGTTGGAGACTAGACTGTTGTGGACTGGAGAAAGAATTCCTGGCCTGCTGGTGGACCCATAATGAACATGTGGCATGATTACATCAGAGGATTTTAGTGGATGTAGGAAATTGTATTTTTATGGGTTTTAGAATTGTTTTACTATATAGACAACATTTTATTCTGTAGGTTTTTTTAAGAGGTGTTTTTGTGCTCCCTGGCCTGGTAATAAACTGCTTCCGATCAGACCTGCTTCATCTTTGTGCGCTTGGTGTCTGACTCGCTTGCTCGCCCCCTTGTATTTAAAAGAATCATTCTCTTTAGCATGACATTCTGGCACATCAGCTTTAGTGTCTGCGTTACATTAGCAAAACAGGTCCACTAAAAAAAACTAAATAAAAGGAAAATAATTGTAATAATATGGACTTCATTTACAAAGCAATTCTGACAGCTGCTTTGAACTTATATAAATAACACCCAGCTATGCTCTCGCCAGATAGAAATGCAAAGATTAGGGTCTACTTACACCAGCCACGCACAGTATGTTTCCCACATGTCATCACATATTCACTCTTCTGGTTCTTCCCCGGGATCACCTCAAATTTAATGCTGGTGTCCCCCATCCCGTGGTTTCTGCAGTAAGGAACAAACATTTGTTTTCACATGGATATTTGAAATCTGTCTGCGTTTTGCACAGACACCCAAATGTCCAATCAGCAGCTGTGAACTTCATTCTCTCATCTTGATGACGAGCAGCTCCACCTTATCATTTCAGTTAAATGCTTTTCCTTGTTTTCTGTCATATATATGTGATAAAGGCTTATATTAAACAGTTACCGATAATAAAACCAGTGTCCGTACAAATAAGCCAAATGATCCATTTCAAACTGATTTTCCCACTTATGTTTCTGGATGATATCCTGAACACTGGCATCTCGGGCACACAGCCAATCAGTTGTTTCAATCCATGTACAAGGAGCAGTCAGTCAGAAGAAAGATGGTGAGGAGGGACCCTAACAGCTTGTTTCAAATAGAGGGTGAAATCAAAGACTGCAATAAGGCCAGTAAAAGATAGTAAGGATCATTTTGAAAAGTTAATCATGCAGAGCTGCTCTATTAACAATATGGACGCAGTCGTAGTATAAATCCCACAACAGGAGACATAAAGAGGCCTGAGAGAGAGAGAGAAGAAAAAAGGACACACACATCGCTTTAACAATAACAGTTTAACAATATTAATAAATACTCAAATCTACTTTACCTTTTAAGGCACTCATGAAGAATCTGATATGGCGATAGTAGTCCTGCTTTGTTGGTCAGCTCATATACTCTTGAATCTTCTATACTGATATGATTAAAATACTGCAGGAGAGAATGCACTGAATGTCACTACTGCTGTGTCATCTTCAACTCTAAAAAGATGTGTTTTACATTTGAAGGAAGTATTATATGAAAATCTTGGCTTCAGAATCAGGATTTAGCTTTGCTTCAAGAGTAAACCAAAAAAAAAAAAAAGACAAAAAAAAAAAGAAATACACACAGAAAAAAAATGTCAAAAAACAAAAAAGTACCTCCAGTTCATCGCCTTCGACGGGTTTCTCCTCCGAGGTCTGCTTCACAAAGTCAGGTATGAGGATTTCCAGTGTTGCTCGAGCTGCAAACACCCAGTGAGATTTTACAGCAGGTGAATGTGCAAATATTTACCACATGTAATACAGTGTACTGTTATCTTGCTCCATTGTGGGGAGGTGCAACAAAGAGATTGTTCTTGGAGCTGCAGTGTGTAAGAAAGTGTAACCCCTTGACTTTTCAGAAGACCTCTCTCTCACAAAGCAGATACATCCAAGCTATTCAGTGACATCCAACTAAAGCCCCTTTCTATCAGTACCTACTCGAATCGACTCACCACGTTTTCAGGGTTTTCCATTAGGTCATTTTACCACGTACTTTTTTAGTACCTTCTCGGCCGGGTCTGAGCAGGTACTAAAATGTGATGTCGTCAGACTCCACTGCCACTGATTGGCTGGTCAATTGCGTCACTGGATGTGATGAGAGCCTCTCTCATTCACGAAAATCAAAACCATCATTTTTAAAAAACCCGGCAACGAATGACAGGACCACAAAGAACAACGCCGGGGTCCCCCGAGTCTGACGGAAAGCAACAGAGCGAGCAGCGGGTATATTCTTGCCTCAACGTCCACCTTTGTTGTAGCGTTTGTGGTGCATTCTAATAACATGCGATGTATTGCTATAACAACAAAAACACACATTAGGTGGCGCTCATTTGCAATGGAAAACCAGTGAATTGGAGTCAAGTGGTGGCTACGTGATGTAGGTACTAATGGAAAAGGGGCTTGACATGTTTTTTAAGGTCATTATGCTTATTTTTTTTTAAATTTATACCAACTCCAAAGGACAACCTCTAATACAACACCATAATTTTTTTATATATTAAGCTGTGACCAATATCAACCACATGATCAAATGTCCAATATTGTAAAGAAGAAGAATTACCAGCTTTATTCTTGGCAAGTTTTTTACTGCTTGCAGTCCCTGTGCCGTATGTGACTCCATCTATAATGACTGACGCTCCAAAGGGTTCACTTGGGTTCTCTGTGGAAAGAATGGCAAATTAAAATGGATATTCCAAAAAGGTCAACATCAAAAACAGGCAAAACACAAAAAAACAAAAACACTTTTACTAGTTTATGCACAAAAAATCCTGATAGAAAATGAGTGGAAGAAGTAATAGCGTACTATGAATTTGACTGTCTGTGCATTAGCTGCTTGATAAAACCAAATCAGAGATCATATATCGGGCTTTCACATTGCTTAATAGCAGTTTTATATGTTAACCCGGTGTTTTTGCTCCAGATCCAACACAAGGTTACAGCTCAGTTGTTGAGTCTATTTAAGATAAGGTAAAAAGAGAGCTACTGACATAGGTCGCTAACCTGCTAATATTGCTTCGTAGTACACCGTTGTAAATTACTGTATTACCTTTGGCCGCTTAAGAAAGAGGAACTTACCACAATCAAAAAAGTTGTAAACAGGGCGAACCTTGAGGATACGCTGCATATATTCATGTAAGATGCAAACTTCAGACTTTCCATTAGGATTTATAACAAATTCTGTGGAAACAAACAATTCATTGCATCAACAACAAAAACTTAACAGGATATGTTTAATATCTAGACCCGAACTGTATGAAATGTACACAGTATGAATCACAGGTACTGGCACCTTTCTTAGTAGGAGCGTCCTGGACTGACAGTGTGATGAGCTTCTGGTTGGCAGGCAGGATAGGTCTTTCCGACTCTGCCTGTTTCCTCTTCATGTCTCTGTTGAACTGTCTTCGCTCAGCCCAGGTGCGAAACTTCTTGACAGTCACTTGTTCAAAGTCAAAGCATTTCTCCAGGTACAGGCGAAATTCTTCAAGTTCTGCAAGGAAGTTTCAAGATGTCAGATGATGTCTTTTACTGCAGCAAAACACAAGCAAACAAACAAAAGAACATTTCAAAAGTCACTGCTAGTGTGGGAAGCTATTTACCGATGGACTCATCCTTGCACACCTCCACTTTGGCCTTGACCTGCCCTAGGGCTCCTTGTGCAGAGTCACAGGGAAGAGACTCTTTATTTTGGATGCTGTTGTCAGTGGTACCTTCTCCATCCCGACCTTCACCAGGGAGACTGGAGGGTGGCATGACATCCTGGTCCTCAGCTGTAGCATCTGATGTGCCTACTTGCTCTCCCCCGTTGGCCTCCTCAGCAGGCTTGACAACAGACTCCTCTGCATCAGGCACCACTTCCCCATTCAGCTCCCTTTCCTCCTGTTCCTTCATTTTCTTGTAGTGTAGGCAGGGGATGCTGCTTACAGGTGGGTCGTGTTTCTGTTTGAACAATATGTTAACAGTGCTGTAAGTTTGAGACTAATTTTAAAATGACCTGGAAAGTGTCCATAGGCTTTAAATAAATAAGGTAAAATCTCTCAAAGTGATGTTTACCCAGCTGTAAAATGTTCAAGATGTAGCTCATCCAGTGCCGATATGTGTTTTGGGGAAAACAGTGTCGTTATGGTTTTCTTTAGGCAAAAACATTTGAGCCTTTGTTTCCTCAAACACTGTCAGTATTGGCAGGGTTCCCAAGCCCTTTAAATCACTAATTTCACACTAACTTGAACAACAAAAATAACACCACATCAAATGTTGTTACCTTTGTATTATGTGAATTAACTCAGATTAATCAGGAACAAACAGACGAGGAACAGTGCAGAGTTTAGGCTTTTGGTGGCAGACTACTTTAGTCCAAACTGAGAGCAGAAGCAAAATCTGTCACTAATCTGTTTAGAGTGTTGACACAGGCAGACGTTTAATGTAAGCAAAGCTAAATTTTATTCCACCAGTTTCATAAACAGAAACAGTTGTGAAATTTATGCCGTTCTTACCCTAATGCTTCCAGTGCCAAGGAAGTACGGTCTGGACCAAGTGACCACTCTGGTCTCTCTGTGCAGGTAGACTGGAATGCCTGAATTATGGAATGTCATTATCCATCCATCAGGGAGAGGCTCGGTGGGCGGACGTCCCCGACCTAGTACATAAGAAAATGCAAATGTAAATATAAGTACTACATAGTACACTTTGTGGTATACCTCATTAGTAATACTAAATACTGACATTTCTAGGAGTTGTAATAATCATTCATTCAAAAAACATCGAAGGCATTTTTATTCATTTGCTTCATTTTCCATGTAAATATAATCCAAAACAAATCAAAAAAGCCAGAACAGCAACCATTACTAAGACTTTAACACGTGTGAGGTTTTTGTCAGATATTCAAGGCAAATTAGAAGAATTTATTTTTCTGTAAATATTTTGCTACTTTGAAAAGAAAAGTTCTTTACAGTCTCAGTGTAGGTGCATGATATCCCTCTCACTCTAAGCAGCAATCATTACACTTTAGGTCACCTTGTTGTAAATAAGCACCTTGCTAAAAATCTATGGGAGTTTGTCCCCTGTGAAAAAGACATCGCTTTTTAACTTTGAGACCGAATCATGTTCAGCTCGTGGGTATGGGGTGAAGACTGAGAGACTATTTGCTATTCATTACATCAAAACCATCATTAACAGGCCTAAATGCTTCTTAGCTGGGAAAGTGAAGTCTTTTCATTAATTTGCCTTTAAAATGCGACCAATGCAACCAGATTAATTTAAAGTTTGGTAAAAGAAAAAGTGAGACACTGTTCTGAAGTTGAAATTAGAAACTTCAAACAATGATTTCTGAAGGAACTTTAAGGAATTTGGAAAATATTTCTGCTTTGTCTTTTAGGATTTCAGACCAGACTTGTTTAGTAGGTCATTCTGTGTAATGCAACAACAACACTCAAAGACAGCAATGACCATGTGCTGTTAGACTGTGTGATCCTTTCAGAGGACTACTTAGTTGTCTAGTCTATTTATAGAGAGCACATCTACCAAGCAGTGTCTCAAAGGAGAGCAGGTTATTTCCATAGGTCACACACAAAAATATAATATACAAAAGATAAAATCAATTTCCTACAATTTCAGATGGTTTATTTAAACAAAAAAAAACAAAAGTAACTAATGAGACAAATATGTGGCACATACAAGACAGTATTTGCAGTATACTTCAGACTACAGGCCCCTCCCCAACTCACTCTTCAGGACAGTCTTAATTTTGGTCATCATGGGTTGAACACCTCCTTCACCATCTGACTGATGATCACTGTCCCCACCATATTTATCCTCTGCCGGGCGCATCTTCTTTGGGACTGGCATGCCCTCCTCCAACAGAGCGTCGACATCATTGTCAAATTCCTCCTAGAAGAGTGAAGGGTTAAGGCCAGCAGATGATGATTGTTGGGCAGTTCTAGAGAGTACTGAATTCTTTGTAGTCTTTTCTCAGACTGTGTTTTTGTGTGTGTGTAACTCTGTAGAAATATACAAAAAAACATTACAGCTGCAAAATGGTGCATAAAAGCAATTATGAGTTTAGAAAGAGAGGATATGCCCCTCTGTTAACTAGCCAGGTTTCAAAAAAAAAAAAATTACCTTGAAAATAGGAAAAGGGCAGGCACTTTAAAAATTGACCAAAGCTCCACAGCTGTGATTTTACTGGCCAATATTTCCTCAAAAGTACCAGCTGGTCCGACCAACCACAGTGAGCTTAAAGCCTGTCAAAATGGATTCTCTAAGGATCTCACCAGAATTCATCCGTCTAACAGTAACTTCTCCTACTAGAAAATCATATGAAGATCTTTTGGGTCAAATGCAGACTCCGCTATTGAAGGTAAAAATTAAAACACTGACCTCTTCCAGCTTCACACTTCACATTTTCAGTGATTTAAAACAAAACAAAAAAAACATTGGTTATCAAACATTTACTTAAACATTTGGTCCTGGTTTTATAAATAAAAGCTTGATGCAGAAGAGTGATGAAATATGACATTAAGAAGTGTACTGTACTTGCAGTGACTGTAGTGTTTGTGGTCTGCATTAGTCCTGCATTATTATGTATTTCACAACGAAGGACAAACTCAGTGCAAAGCTGTCACTAAAAGGGGATACTGCAAATAAAAGTCCAGTCATACCTCATAAGAATAAGCCGTGACTTCGTCATATGCCTGTTCCTGCTGAACTATGACGTCAGACTTAAAGCCTCCATGCTCTCCATCGTCGGGCTCCAGGAAGTTCTCGTAGAGGTCATCCAACTCATCCAGGACAGCAAACTCAACCTTATTCTCTAGATCTACCTCTGCGTCCTCTGACTTTCTGCCTGCAGCATTTGCTGCTCCACCAGTCACCTCGGCTACCTCCTGCTCACTAGCCATGTCGTGCAACTCACCATTGAGACTTTCTAAGCCATCCTCGCTCCCTGCCTCCTGCCTCTCACCTGTATATAAAACCTTCCTCTCTTTGCTATTACTGCTTTCAGTGAAGCTCACACTAATCTTAACATCTCTGAGCAACTTGAGATCTGGCAGAAACTTGGTGACCGGGGGAGCATGGCGGGCTGTTCTGGGGCACGGTGGGGCGGGACTGGCCTCATCTGAGAGATGACTACAGAAAGTCAGTGAGCCCCTGCTGAGGGGCTGCTGTGTCTTGGTTTCCCCGTCCCCTGGGGTGTATGTGTATCCATCACCACCAGAGCTAACGTCCATTACCTCTGCGTCACTGGACGTTTGCAGGGGAGGTGGTGGAGGTGCTCTTCCCTCATCTAGGCCAAAATCATCAGGTGGCTCCAAGGGGAGAGGGGGTAGAACATCATCTATCTCCATTTCCTTATAAATATATAGCTAACTTAAATAGACTGAAATTTTAATTTTAAATTCTTTACTTAGTGAGAGGCTATCTTCTTATCTAAACACAGAATGCATGCAGAAGCACATCCCTGCATAGGCCACGTACCAGAGGTGAATATGCTAAGCTGACTACATTGTTCTTTTCATTAATGTAGACAGCTTTCAGAATCACTGTCTCAATTATTGGAAATCACAATGCATTCAGCTTAATATGGGATCTAGGCACTGATCATCCTCCACTGCGATCTTGTGGAAGCTAGAAAAAAGGGACCAGTGAGAATAATGTCAGAAAGCACAACTTTATTACTATTACAATACGATATTTAACGTAAAAATAGCTTCGACAAATAGACGTGTTTTGGCTTTGAATTTGAATATGTTGTATGCAAACTATACATTTGAATAAAATGGGGAACAACCACTCTTTAGCGCATCTGTTCAGCCCGAAGCTTCACAGTGGGCCCCTGCTAAGGTTAGCATCAATGCTAATAAGCTGAGCTACAGCTCACCGAGCAAACCCGCAAAGGTCAGCAACCCATAAAACAGCCAGATATTTGGGATACAGGCGTACTCACTGATAAATATGACACGGGTAACTCCTCTTGGGCAACTATCTACCTTTCTAAATTAACACAATTCTCGTCGCGCCGCCATCTTGAAGAAAATCCTAGCCGCGGCTCCCAAACTCATGCCCCGCCTTCCTCTACCGGCTTTTTCAGAACCGGATGTTCACATGGCCAATCACTGCATTCTTCAACCGCCATTATTCGGCCAATCAACACGACAGCGTCACACCTCGTGGCCTATCAGCAACATGGCAATGCTTCGTGCTTTTCCCTAAAGCAGGGGACACGGTCCAAATTCGAATGAAACCAACAGTAATTGTAACAACGTCTCCAGCACTCTCATTCCTTTCAGTGGAAATAAATATATTTGGGAAACCTTTATATTCAAGCATCACCCACCTAAAACAAATGATGGGCAGCCGAGCATATCCTGAGAAAAGTAAAAGTTCAGTATTTCGCAGTATATATGAATTACAAGAGCTATAAAGGCACATGTAATATTTTGGAAGGTAAAAAAAAGTATTTTACTTCATCTTCCAAACAATATGTTGACATCTACAAACACTCTACACAGAGTACTATGGGGCGCGGTTTGCAAACTGAAACATACAGAAATTAACAGCAGCATTTTGCCACATTTAGCTCCAAACCTTGTAAAAACCTGTTTTTTTAGAACATTTATGAAAATATTTGTAACGTTTTTTAATCAAGGTCTTTTCATTGAAAGAAATCATATAATCACAACAATAGCATACTGCTTATAAACTGAAACCCCACTCTCCTGTCTGCCAAAGGAAGGGGGGGTCAAATTAGGCAGTGTGATGGAAAATTGACATTTATAGACATTTCCACAAATTGTACAGAGGCAACTATCCATCTTTCCATTTGTCAGTAAATGTCAGAGATGGTTGCCAGGTAGTGTAGAAGCTGGACGTAGATCCTTTGAGGGAGCATCTTATCTTTTCCTGTTTAAAATACTGCATAACCTCTATGATCCAATGTGAACATGAAAGGGGTGAGGAGTCTTTCCAATGCAACAGCACCTGTCTCCTGGCTATCAGAGTATAAAAGGCTATCGTTTTCAACTTTATTTGTGTTCAGATGCCTACCCTGTGGGACGGTACCAACTAGTCCAACAAAGGGACATGATTCAAATGGCTCTCCTAAAACTTTAGAAAGAGTAGAGAAGATTACTTGCCAGAACTGATGATGCACTGAACAAACCCAGAACATATGTAGAAGGGTGGCTGAAGCCTGCTGACATTTATCACAGGTAGGACCCAGATCTGGTCTAAATCTGGACAATTTAGTCATTGACCAGTGTAGTCCATGTGCAATTTGTATTTTTCCAACCTTTATTTAATTTGTACATAGCACTGTGCACAACCACTAAGCGTAACAAAACAAGTAGCTAAACTTACATAAACTACAAGCTACACATACTACCTTCATACATAACACCACAAAAGGGAAAAAACAAACAAACAAAAACACACAAAAAAACAAAAGAAAACAGAACCAAAAAAAGGGAGGGAGGAACTGTGTGCAACTCCCACCATGCACTACTCACAGTTGCAGGTATACGTTACACCTAAATTAGAAAGTAATGATTTGCTGGTTATAGTTTATGACAGTTCACATCAAACAACCTTTCCTGGAAGGATCCAACTCAAAAACTATACTAAAATATAATGACAGCATCCATCTCATCATAAAATCGAAACAGCCAATAACATGAACAAAATAATCACAATCTCAATCAGTTTATCCTCATGTAAATGCATATACAGTATATATATATATATATATATATATATACTGTATATGCATTCAAGTGGCTCCAAAGTGTTTTCTTGAAACAGGACATCTAACAGTTAGGTCCATATACATATTTGGTCACTGACACAAGTTTAGGTTTGTTTTTGTCGTTGTTGTTGTTTTCCTTGTTTACTGAAACATCTCTTTCTAAAGGGACCAAAGGTAATTGGACAGTTGGCTCAAAGGCTATTCCAGGGGGAAATTTGGGTAATTCCTTCATTCTGTTATTATTGAATGGTCAACCTGATCTTAACCCAACTGAGTGTGAATTTCATATGTTGAAGACTATAGGTCCACAAACAAACAAACAGCAACTAAAAGTCGCTGCAGTAAAGGAGGAAACCAGCATCTGGTGATGTCCAGGAGTTCAAGACTTCAGCCTGTCATTGCAGCGAAGGGTTTTCAACCAAGTATTAGAAATTAAGATTTTATTTTCACTTATTTAGTTTGTCCAATTACTTTACAATTACTGGCTACCTGAAATGAAGGCTTGTTTTAAAAATGCTTTAGTTGCTCACATTTTTATGCAATCTTTTTGTTCAACCCACTGAATTAAAGCTAAAAATCTGCTGAAGGGATGAGTGTATTCACCTGTAATGGAGACGACCTTCCAGATGAGGCAGGTGCGTTGTCATTTTTTCCTGCAGAACCCAGTGCAGGAGTCATACCACACAGTGATGCAGCTGGTGAGGATACTCTCAACTGTGCCTCTGTAAAAGGTGCTCATAATGGGGGTTGAATCTCTTGTGCTTCTCAGTTTGCAGAGGAAGTAGAGTCGCTGTTGGTCTTCTCCACATTCAGGGACAGGTTGTTGTTGCTGTACCACTCTGCCAGATGGTTAACTTCACCCCTGTAGTAGATCTCGTCGTGGGTCAGCAGAGTGAAGAGAAGGGGGCTCAACACACATCCTTGGGGAGCCCCCGTATTCAGTGTTCTTGGGCTGGAGGTGTTGCTGTCGACCCGTACTGTCTGCTGTCTTCCTGTCAAGAAATCTAGCAGCCAGTTATACAGCAAGGTGCTGATCCCCAGCAGATCCAGTTTGTGAATGAGTTGCTGGGGAATGATGGTGTTGAATGCTGAACTGAAGTCTATGAACAGCACTCTGACATATGAGTCTCTAGTGTTGAGATGTGAGGGCTGAGTGAGGGGCAGTTGAAATTCCATCATCACTTGAGCGTTTTGACGAAAGCAATAATTTGATTTGATGCATGACTAACCGTTCAAAGCACTTCATAATGATGGAGGTGAGTTTGACAGGACGGTAGTCCTTAAAGCAGGAGGTAGATGACTTCTTGGGTACAGTAATGATGGTGGAGGCTTTGAGGCATGTGGGAACGGCGGTACTGATTTTGGCAAGGGATCTCCACACACTGTCTGGGGATTGTGTCACCACGGTCTGCAGAGTGGGCTTGTAGTCTGTGATGGTTTGTATTCCTTGCCACTGCCTCAAGTATCTCTGCTGTCGCTGAAGCTTTGCTGTAGCTGATGCCACGTGACAGGTTTGCCCTTGCTGTTCTTTGGCTCACCTAATTCCCGGCTCTGAAGGCTTGCATTTTTCAACCTTAGGAGCATTTAAACCTGACCTGTGAGCCATGGTTTCTGATTGGCCCAGACAGTGATAGGCCTGGTATATTAGAAGGAGGAGATCAGCTGTTCAACGCTGGATTATTGTGAAGGCTCTAGTCAGTACACGTCTAGCTCAAGTTTCCTGTGCCTCTGTCTCAGAGACTTAACGAGTGTTTCTTTGTTCCTAGATTCCCCGTGTTTCCCCGTGTGGAGTGTGGAAGGAGTGACTGGTCGCTAGCAGAGAAGAGAGAGGTTGAACTGAGCGCGTGTGTGATTTCCCTGTTTTCCCTGGAGCCCTGCCCCTCACGTCTTGTATATAGCACTAACCCCGCACTGTCTGTACATACACTTGGTGAAGATCTGTAAATAAACCGTCTCTGTTTAAACGCTACTCATGAGTCCTGCGAGTGGATCCTCTAAGCAACCCGTGACACCTGGTCTCTGTGACATCACGATGCATTTTGGGATGTAGGCAGTAACAGTTTCTGTATATTCCTGAAAGTCTGTGGTGTTGTCGTGTGTGGCAGCCTGTGGTGGAAAAGCAGTCTTGCAGTGCCTCTGAGGACCCTTCTGGCCACACCTGTACCTGCTTACGAACTGGTTTGGTGACTTTGACCAGGGGCCTGTGGGAACCCATGGCACACCTAGGTTTCTGCCTGTACTGACCCTTATGCAAAATAGGTGGAATTAAGACACAGTTCCAAAAGCAAACACAACTGATCAGTGCTGAGAGTGGTCCTGTTGCTGAGGTTGGGGTGATCCTGTAATCTCTTATGAACTACCTCCAACGCTTCTATGACTGGGATGCAAGTGAAGACAGATGTAACATCTCTCTCTCACTGTACATGTACTGTTTATAAAATTAGGGAAACATAACCTGCACAAACAAAATAATTTGCAGGACAAATGTTTGACATCAATTTTGTTCGATTTGAAGAAGGTAGGGGGGCCAATTTCACTCACATGTGTTTATAAGGTTGGGAAAACCTGCAGTCAGCTGAGACTGAAGAAGTCACCTGGATGAGTGACGAAACGTTTCTCCAACTGAAAATGTCCAGATGGACAGAATCAACCTTTTGGGATTTACTTACCTGGATGATTAAGATGTTATTTTATTAAAATGTTTAAAACAGAAGCAGCACAAACGACAATTTTAGCAGCACAAACCAGCACAAACGTAGCACAAACGTTTGACATCCATTTTCTTTGATTTGGGTAATGTGGGTGGGCTGGTTGACCTTTTGACCTTTACATTTTCATTAATATCTTTAAAACAGAAGCAGCACAAACGACAATTTTAGCAGCACAAACATAGCACAGTTGATTGACACCCATTTTGTTTGAGTTAATTAATGTGGCACATGTGCACATGTTTACTAAATTGATGTCAAACTGCAATAGAAAAAGGCATAATATTTGAAACAAATATGTATCAGAGGTTTTTGAACTCAAATCTCTTGAAGATTCAGCTTTAATTTGTTGTTTGTCTTGATATTCCTGTATTCTCTCTAAAGCTTTTGTTTTTGCAATCACAGAGCTTTGGAGACAACATACGGAGCTTGATCAGCAGCGACAAGACTCACGATCTCCAGTATTACGGCATCACCTCGAATCTGGAGAGCATGGGTACCACGCATGTGTCTGTGCTGACCGAAGATGGATCCGCTGTGTCTGTCACCAGCAGCATCAACCACATGTCAGTGTCTGGATGAATCTGTTTCACTGTTAGGAAGCAGCTATCAAAAATGTGTCTTCC